GTGGGGCTTGACAGGGGATTTCAGGCTGCGTCCCCAACCCTGGCACCAGGCCAGGGGATCTCAGACAATACCACCCACCCGGCGTGGCTTGATGAGGGACCTCAGGCTGCACCCCTCATCCCAGCACTGGGCCAGGGGACTGAGGCTGTGCCCCCCTGACTTTCTGGGCTTGACAGGAGACCTCAGGCCATGCCCCCCACCCAGCAGGGCTTGACAGGAGACCTCAAGGTGCATCCCCAGTGCTGGGTTGGGGGAACTCAGGCCGCACCCCCCACCAGGTGGGGTTTGACAGTGGACTTCAGGCTGGCACCCACCCCAGCACCAGGCCGGGGGTCCTCAGGCCACATACTCCACTCAGCAGGGCTTGACAGGGGATCTCAGGCCTTACCCCCACCTGGCGGGGCTTAACAGAGAACCTAAAGGCATGTCCCCTGCCCCAGTCTGGGCTGGGGGACCTCAGGCCATGCCCCCATCCTGGCACCAAGCCAGGGTACCTGAGACTACACCCCTGCCTGGCAGGGCTTGACAAGGGTGGGACTCGTTGGGTCTGGATCTAGCCCAATGCAGGGGTTGGGGGAGCAGGGTCTGGGTCTCATATGATTTTGAGGTGCATGTGGGTGGGTAGTGACTTGACTCTGGGTCCTGTGGTGAGTCCCAGACTCTGACAGGAGGAAGGTTTTCATATACATTTTACTAATTTTCTTTCATCTCTGACATTTCTATTATAGAGAAAGGACAAATAGCAATATTAAAATATTTCTTCTAATTAATCCCCTTTTAATGTGCACGAATTTTGTGCACTGGGTCACTAGTACTAGTAGAAGAATCAACCAATAAATGCATAAATAAGTAGAACAACAAGTCTCTCTCTCTCTCTCTCTCTTTCTCTCTCTCCCCCCTCTTCCCCACTCTATAAAAATCAATAAATGAAAAGAACATCCATTTATGGAATATTCTTGCCAAAAATATATAACCTGAATCTAACTAATGATGAGCAAACAACCCAAAATTGAGGAAACTTCTACAAAATAACTGGCCTGTTGTATTCAAAAACATAAATGTCACAAAAGACAAAGTCTGCCGAGGCCGGTTTGGCTCAATGGCTAGAGCGTCAGCTTGAGGACTGAAGGGTCCCAGGTTCGATTCCGGTCAAGGGCATGTACCTTGGTTGTGGGCATATCCCCAGTAGGCAGCTGATTGATGCAAGAGGCAGCTGATCGATGACTCTCTCTCATCAATGTTTCTAACTCTCTATCGCTCTCCCTTCCTCTCTGTACAAAATCAATTTAAAAAAATTAAGTTAAAAAAAAAAGGACAAAGTCTGAGGAACTCCTCGATATTGAAGAGACAACAACAAGAAACTAAATGTGATGCACAACCCTAAATTAGGGCATTTTTAAATGTTACAATGGACATTATTAGAGTAATTGGTGAAATTGAATAAAGTTTGTAGCTGAAAGTACTATAACAATGTTAAAATTTTACATTTTTATAATCGTACTGTTGTAATTTAAGTTAATTCTTTATTCTTATGATAAATAAGAACACTAGAGGCATGGTGCACAAAATTTGTGCACAGGTAGGGTCCCTAGGCCTGGCCGGTGATCAAGGCAATCAGAGCCTTCCCACTGCTGGCTAGGACCTCCCTTCTCTGGCTGCCAGCTGCAGGCCAGGGCCTTCTTCATTTCACGCCATCCCCTGGTGGTCGTCACATATCATAGTGAGTGATTAAACTCCTGGTCTCCTGGTCGAACGCCTGAGGGAACAATTTGCATATTAGGCTTATATACAATATGTATATATATAGATGCACTTTAATATTTAAAGTTAAAGGTATGTATTTTTTGTGAAATTTACAAATGGCTCCAAAATAATGGGTATTAGAATGTCATCTAATTCCATTATAGCAACGTAGGATGCTAGCAGCCAATGCAGCAATGCCTCCAAAATTCATAGAGGAAATGATTTAACCCTATCCCCAGAATTCTATGCAGTTTTCTATTGCTACAGAGCAAACTACTGTAATCTCAGTTACCCACTTATTATCTCACTAAAGGCCTGGTGCACAAAATCTGTGCACTGGGGTGGTGGGGGTTCCTCAGCCCAGCCTGCACCTTCTCACAATCTGGGATTCCTTTTTCAATCCAGAACTACTGGCTCTTAACTGCTCACCTGCCTGCCTGCTTGATCGTCCCAAACCATTCTGCCTGCCTACCTGATCACCCCTATCCATTCTACCTGCCTACCTGATGCCCCCAAAACACAATGCTTGCCTGATCACCTCTAATCACCTCTGCCTGTCTTATCACCCCTAACTACTCATCTGCCTGTATAATCACCCCTAACCATTCTGCTTGCCTGCCTGATGCCCCTAACTGCTCACCTGCCTTGCTGATTGCCTCTAATCACTCTGCCTGCCTGATGCCTCTAACTGTTCACCTGACTGCCTGATCACCCCTAACTGTCCCTGCCTTGGCTCCTGCCACCACAGCTTCATCCAGAAGGATATCCGGAATGATGTCAATAAGGTTGTTTGGTTTTTCAGTCTAATTAGCATATTATGCTTTTATTATTATAGACTAGAGACTTAGTGCACAAATTCGTGCACCAGTGGGGTCCCTTACCTGGCCCTCAAGATTGGGCTGAAACTGGCTCTCTGACATTCCCCAAAGGGTCTTAGATTACAAGAGGGCACAGACAGGCTGAGGGACCCCACCGGTGCACAACTGGGGCTAGGGAGGGACAGGAGAGGTTGGCCAGCCAGGGAGGGACAGCGGGAGGGCTCCAGAGTGTGTCTGGCCTGTTTTGCTCAATCCCAATTGGCTGGACCCCAGCAGCAAGCAAACATACCAGCTGGAGTGTCTGCCCCCTGGTGGTCAGTACACATCATAGTGAGCAGTGGAGTAGCTTTAACATATCATTATCTTTGATTGGTTGGACAGACGACCAGATGCTTAGCATATTAGGCTTTTATTATATAGGACTAGAGGCCCATTGCATGATATTCATGCAAGAATAGGCCTTCCTTCCCCTGGCTTTGCTCCTGGCCACTCAGGAGCCTTTAGATCCCTGCTCCCAGACAGCCCAGTAGCTGCTAAGTCCCCACTCCAGGTGGGAGCACCGCTCCGATAGCTCCCTCTAACCCCCTCATTGCCTCATACGGTAGCAGGCGTCCCACCCCACCCAGCTACCCTGCATATGCAAATTAACCTGCTATCTTTGTCAGGTTAATTTGCATACTTAATTCTTATTGGCTGTGGTCATAGCAGAAGTAAGGTCAATTTACATGTTTGTTTATTATTAAGTAAGATAGTTTGTGTAGGTTAGAAGCCTGGGCACATAGCTAGGTTCCTTGCCCAGAGAATTAAAAGGCTGAAAACAAGGTATCAGATGATACAAAGTCCTCTTCCAATCTCACGTGAGTTGTTGGCAGAAGTCAGTTTGACAGAAGTCATTGTTTTCTTGCTATCTGTCAGCCTGGAACTGCTCTGATTTCCTAGTGGCTTCCCCTTGACCCTTGCTTCCACTCCTGAAACACAGCAGTTCGCTGCATCATCAAGACCAGCAGGAAAATGTCTCTTAGATGCTTTACTTTCTCACCTAGTTATGCAAGACTTAACCAGGGTAATCCCTCTAACTCAAAGTCAACCGATTAGTAATTTATTCATGGGACTAATACTCCATTATATGTACCAGTACCACCCACACTCAGTGGAAGAGGGCTATGCAAGTTGTGTACATCATGAAGAGGAATCCTGAGGTCCATCGTAGAATTTGGCTTACCACATACAGCCAAACCTTCAAGTTCTCAACCTTGTATCATATTATTGTAGAATCTCCTGAGGGATTATTAAATCTTATTATTCAAATTATTGTTTAGTGGCTCTGAGCAGGGCCTGAGGTGTTTTTATTTTGCTTTTTTATATTTAATCCTAACCCATGAATATATTTATTGATTAGAGAGAGAGAGAGAGAGAGAGAGAGAGAGAGAGAGAGAGGAAAAAGAGAGAGACAGACAGACAGACATTGGCTAGTTGCCTCCTGCACTCTACGGTACCAGGGATCAAACCCACAACACAGGTATGTGCCCTGAGTGGGAATCAAACTTCAGCCTTTTGATCTATAGAATGTTATTCAAACCAATTGAGCCACCCAGCCAGTTTTTGTTCTACCAGTTTTGCTTTTATGGCTCTCTCGTGTAATTCCAATGTGCAATCAAGGAAAACCACTGGAATAGAACAAGCCCTGGATTGTAAAATCTTTTGAATTTTAACTTTTTGGATTTTAAGATCTCAGAGAAATTACTTCCCGGCACCCCCTTTTCAGGAAGTGACTAGAGAAGTACTCCTCTGAAATGAGGAAGTACTCAAGGAAGAGGAAAGCACAGGATCTAGAAAACAAGGACTTAAAATAGAAAATGCAGAGGGTGATGGGCAGTAGGAGCCCAGGATATAACCAAACCAGACTGGAGCAGGAGGATGAAGGGCTCTGAGACAAGGTTTCAGAGAATTAAAAAAAAAAAAAAGTAAAATTAATGAATTATCTAATTAATCAGACATATTGAGGGAAGAGAACAAGTATTACACATACAATAATTGATATGCAATTGGAAAAAAATAAGAATAGTTACATATAAAAATTACATATGTGAAAAATGATGCAATTATTTTCTTCAAGGATAAGTGAAGCTTTTCAAGACAAAAAAGCATGCACTACTTGGCCGTGCAGTTAACAATATTAGCACACTTATAAATATTGAACTTTAACTGCAAATTATAATTCTGAGAATATAGGATGAACAAAAATGTGTCTACATAAAAAGTTAAATCAAGAAATTGCAAAATAATGCTATAATGCTAAGTATTGAAATAACAGGAGAATTTGTGTTTGCCTCTGAAAGTAAGATACAAGGAGTGAGACACTACCCTTTTTTAATACAATGTTTTTTTTTATATTCTAACTCTACCCATATGTTACTGTGTTAAATGATAAAAATGAGAGTGCTTGCTTCGGCAGCATGCATACTAAAATTAGAATGATATAGAGATTAGTATGGCTCCTGTGCAAAGATGAGATGCAAACTCATAAAGCATTCATATTTTATTTTATTTTATTTTTTATTAATCCTCACCCAAGGATATTTTCCCATTGATAAGCAGCATGGCTTTTTATATGGTAAAACTTTAAGTAATCGAATTGTCCATTGACTGGCATTTTCTAAATTCATTTGTTTATTAAACAAACTAGAGGCCCAGTGCAGATTCATGCACATTGAGAGTAAATTAATTAGAAGGTGGCCAGCAGGGCAGGACTGGGCGAAAAAGCCTGGACACGCCCTGGAGCCAACCTGCTGCCAACCTGAGGAGTGAGCAGGGTCCCTCTGGCAGGTGGGGTCCCTCATCCTGGCCTGAAGAGACCAGGCCGAAACCGACTCTCTGACATCCCCTGAGGGGTCCTGGAGTGCAAGAGGGCACTCTGAAGCTCCTGTATCGAGTGTCTTCCCCCTGGTGGTCAGTGCACGTCATACCTACTGGTTGACCAGCCGGTCACTTAGGCTCTTATATAGAGCGATATTTATTGAATGACTGCTATGTGCCAAGCACTGTTCTGAAAACTGGAGAAATAGTAGTTACTAAAAGACAAAAATCCTTATTTTCATATAGCTTTCATTCTTTTAGGAGGAAACATATCATAAAGAAGTACTTACTATATTAGATAGTGGTAAGAGCTATGGAGAAAAACAAAGGTGAAAAGGGAAAACAGGAGTCCTAGGAGAGTGTGTATGTAATTTTTAAAAGGATGGTCAGAAACATCCATACTGACACTTAAAGGCTTGAAAGAAGTGGGCAAACCAAGTAATAATAGGAGTTGAAGGTGGGGAGAAGAGTGTGCCAGACCTTCAAAATAAATAAACTAGTTCAACGTAGATAGATTTCAAAAAAGATAATGTTAAGCCCAGCCGGCATGGCTCAGTGGCTGAGCATCCACCAGAAGGTCATGGTTGAATTCTGGTCAGGACACATGCCTGGGTTGCAGGCTCAGTCCCCAGTAGGGGGCGTGCAGGAGGCAACTAATCAATGATACACTCTCCTCATTGATGTTTCTATCTCTTCTTCATTCCCCTCTGAAATCAATAGAAATGTATTTTTCGAAAAGATAATGTTGAGTAAAAATGGCTATAGAGGAAAATGTAACACATGACACTTTTAAAAAGTGATTGTAACCCGAGCCTATTTGGCTCAGTAGATAGATCATTGGCCTTGGACTGAGGGTTCCCGGGTGTGGTTCTGCTCAAGGGCACATGCCTGGGATTGTGGGTTGGATCCCCAATAGGGGGCGTGCAGAAGGTAGCCGATCAATGATTCTATTTCACCATTGATGTTTCTATCTACCTCTCCCTCTCCCTTCCTCTCTGAAATCAATAAAAAAATATATATATATATTTTTTTTTAAGTAATTTTAGAAGTAGGTAGGTAAAAGTATGAAAAATGCAGGTAAAACTAAGAATAAAAAATACCGTATTTCCGGCGTATAAGACGACCCCCTAATTTTACAGTTAAAACGTAGGTTTAGGCCTGTATTCGCTGTATAAGACTACCCCCCACTTCCGAGGCAACACTAGTTCTTCTTTTAATAGACCGCCTCTCTAACTCAGCCAATCCAAGCAGGCTTTTTATGCATGCAAATTATACATGTTCTGTACCCGAAGATACACTGTGTTCTAGTAAAAAGCCTGCTCAGATTGGCCAGAGTCAGGGAGGCAGTCTATTAAATAAAGAACTGGTGCTGCCTCGGAAGTGGAAGGTAGCCTTATACAGCGAATATAGGCCTAACCCTATGTTTTAACTGTAAAATTAGGGGGTCGTCTTATACGCCAGAAAATACGGTACCAAATTATAAATAGTGGCTGGTTCTGGGAAAGAGGGAATTGGAATGGGGCTTGGGTAGAGGGTCAAATGATATTTCCATTTTGTTGCATGTTTTATTTATTATATAAAATAATAGATTTAATTCAAGCATAATAAATTGTTAAATATAATATGGGGGAGCATTCGAGATCTTGCTCCTTGGCATATATTGTCAGTTTGGCTCAAATAAACTCTTATAAAAATTTTCTAAAGGTTTGGGTGTTTATGTCAAAGAAACTCATCCAGAACCACCCTGTGAACTTGGACCAGGACTAAGATACAAGTAAGGGCTCATTATGCCCCACCAACTACCTACTTTCTATCAGGCGACCTGGGGTGAGTTTCTCTGGGAATTTGGGGGGCCCTTGCTTTTAGTAGCAAGCCATGACTTTATCTGAGCTGTTTTTAGAGAATCTTCAAGGTGGATAAGGGTTGAGATAACCAGGGAAAGTAAAAAAAAAAAAAAAAAAAAAAAAAGGAGGAGGAGAAGGAGGAATGGGTTGCTACTCTTAATTTTGGCTTTTTAAGTAGATTGCTTACTGAGAGTTTAAACAATACTTTTGCTGGTTAAATGAGAGACTGAGCATTTTTAGCTCTAAAAGAGAAAGAACATTTACTTCCCCAACCCGAATAGGCAATGGGGTGACAGCATTGGTTCAGATCTCTGAATCCATATGGGCTCCAAGAGTCAGCAGTGCAGCAGTGCAGCTGATCCCAGAGAAACCAGTGGAGGGAGCCCCAGGGAGAAGAGCACAGCACCCTAAAACAGGTTCACCTTCAGAGAGGGACCTGAGAAAGGGTTCCATTCCCTCGAAAGTATCCGGTTCGGTGGTGACCAGTAAGCCCTCACTGTCTTTTGCTCAAGCATTCTTAGGTAACGAAAAGTCTTTGTGGAGCTGCCTCAGAAACACAAACTTTAGGGTGTAAAGCAGCCCTGGAAGGATACTCACCAAATTGGCTCATCGGGAGATATGGACATAAGGGCTGGTTTTCCCTAGAAGTTTTTTCAGTCTCTACAGATCTCATAAATAATGTGAGAAATTGTGCTTCCGAGGCCAATAAGCCCCATGACAGTCAGCCTTCCATTAGTACTAACATGGCCAGATGAGGATCCTTTGGTACTTCTAAATTAATCTTATGGTCCAGTCGGTATGGCTCTGAGGTTGAGTGTTGATCCAGGTACCAAGAGGTTTCTGGTTCAATTCCTGGTCAGGGCCCTTGACCAGATTGGGGGCTCGATCCCCAGGAGGGGGTATACAGGAGGTAGCCCGTCAATGTTTCTCTCTCATTTATATTTTTATCTCTCTCTCCCTTGTCCGTCTTTCTTCCTCTCTAAAAAAAATCAGTAACAACATTTAAAAAAATTAATTAATTTTTTGCATGCATAGTTACAAAAGCTGTCTATAAATTAGGCAGAAAGAATGGAAAGCATAAATTGGTCTCACAAAGCTTTAAAAAGAGGATTTAGATAAGCGGATTAACCTATGATGTCCTTTGGGTGTCATCCCAATTCTTTAGGTTATTAATAATGGCTGTCCTTATTTTTACTTGACTTATCAAGGATATATACAGATTTCAAATGCCTCCAAAACAAAATTTGGCTCCAACTATTATATTTGTGTGTGTCTATGTATATATGTATGATATAAATGTTAGATAATTTATGCCACTGGATGTTATTATTAAAATCAATTTAAAGGCAAGTGCTTGTAAGGATTGCAAAAATATAAACTAACTCATGCTTTTCAAGTTCACATGATCTAAAGTTAATCCTTAGCAAATAAAACCTAATTTAAGTTTGCTTGTTTAAGTAAAAGACATGTCTTTGTTTTGCCTGGGTTTTATAAAAATAAGTCCATGTTAATAATTGACTTTTGTGTCTATGAACTATGTTTCTAGAGGATGTAAAATGTCTCCATAGCTCAGTTGGTGTGGCTCAGTGGTTGAGTGTTGACTCAGGAACCAAGAGGTCATTGGTTCGATTCTTGGACGGGATACATGCCTGGGTTGCTGGCTCAATCCCTAATAGGGAGCGTGCAGGAGGCAGTCTATTAATGTTTCTCATCAATGTATCTATCTTTTTATCCTCCCTTCCTCTCTTTTTAAAAATCAATAAAAATGTATTTTTAAAATAACTAAAATGTCTTCATAAAACTTTTAAAGAATGCAAATTGGTTACTTCTCAGTTTTCATTAGAAATTGAGGTTTTAAGGGTTAAACATCTCTTTATACATAAGATCAACTTTGAGGCACTTCAGAAGGGTGTTTTAAGGATTAAAAATATCTCTATATATAGAGCACCTGGAACACCTCAAAAGATTCAAAATTGCATAGGACACATTGTAAAATAAGTGATAAGCCCTGGCCAGGTGGCTCAGTTGGTTGGAGTGTTGTTCCATGCCCTAAAAGGTTGCAGGTTCAAACTCCAGTCAGGGCACATAGTTGGGTTTTGGCTCCCATTCCCAGTTGGGGTGAGACCAGGAGACATCTTACATCAATGTCGCTCTCTCCCTAAAAATCAATGAACTTATCCTCAGGTGAGGATAAAATAAATAAGTGGTAAAAAAAAAAAAAAATTAAACAAGTAAGTGGGGACTCTGGAAAACCCAAGATGGCCTCTTGGTTCTTCATGGCTCCTTGGCATCATCACAGTGCATTTAAACTGGATTTATATGAAGGAGCTTATTAGCTGACATTATTAAAAAGAGGCATCTTACACTATTACCAAGGTTTGATAGAGTCACTTGAAGAAAATGCCAAGTTGGTAACCACTTCTTTTCAGAGAGCTCCCAGAAAGCAACCTTACAGGGTGATCTGATCATAAATTCCTAACAGGGAAAGTCATGGTAGGTAGTCATAACTCAGGCCCATAGCTTCTTTAGTGAAAGGTTTTAAGCCAGCTCTGTCTCTTGTTCTTGTGCATCTAGGGCTAACACACCTTCGAAATACCAGAAGTAATACCTCTCAAAGGGGGCGTTCACTCTCAAGAAAGCACATAATCTTGTTAATTATTCTGTAATCCAATCCCCAGCTCCAGGTACATTCCCTCCTTATTTTTCAAAAGCATAAAAGAAGATGCAAAATTGTTATTCTCTGGAGCATTTGTGATCTTACTTCCTGGCATGTCATCAGTTTGGCTCAAGTAAACTCTTGTAAAAGTTTTTAAAATAAATAAATATAATACATATACCAACTA